CAGCAACAAGAACAAGAACAATAACAAGACTACGAACAATAACAAGCACAATAGCAACAACAATAACGAGAACGACAACCACAACAATAGCAGCAACAACAACAACAGCAACAACAACAACAACAAAAACAACAACAACAACAACGCCAACAACAACAACAACAACAACAAGAACAAGAACAAGAACAAGAACAACAACAACAACAACATCAACAACAACAACAACAAGAAGAAGACTAAGAAGAAGAAGAATAAGAAGAAGAAGAAGAAGAAGAATAAGAAGAAGAAAAAGACTAAGAAGAAGAAGAAGAACAACAACAACAGCAACAACAACGACAACAACAACAAGCAACAACAACAGCAGCAGCAGCAACAACAACAACAACAACGACAACGCCAGCAACAACAACAACAGCAGCAGCGGCAGCAACAACAACAGCAGCAGCAGCAGCAGCAAAAACATCATCAACAACAACAACAACATCAAGAGCTGCAGGAACAGCAACAGCACCGGCAACGGCACCGGTACCGGCACCGGTAGAAGCATCTTCATGAGCAGCAAAAACGACGACCAAGACGACGACCACGACCACGATCATGACGACGACCACGGCGACGAACACGACAATCACGACGACGATGACTACGACCACGGTCACGAACAAATCTGTCTTGCTAGTAGTAAAAGTGAGAAGTGTTGTCTTCATACGCGGTATCCGCTCGTCCGTAAAGATCTTGTAGTAACTGTCGTCGTCGTCATTGCTGCCGCTGATGTGTATTTTACTACTATAATCATGACTCTCATCACTCTAATGGTCGCTGCAGCTGTATGCAGCTGATTTTGTTGTGTTTGTCAGTATTATCATTGCTCTCCCAGCCGCGACTACTGTTCTCATCACTGTAGCCACCGTAGCCATCGTCCTGTGTCGTACCGCCATGGCAGGCAATGGGAAGCCCACGGCCAGATGGCTTTGTAGGCGCAGTAGCGGGACGGGCGCTGGATGTGTTTCTCGTGTGTTAAAGTTGATGCTCGTGCGCCGCGTGACACAGGTGCCGAGATCCAGCCTACTGAGGCGACGGAGGTGCAGGCTATGATGACTGGTGCTAGCTTTATTGTTGGGACTGCTTGGGGCAGTACTCCTTCCCGTAATCCTTTCCGGGATTGTGCTTGTGGTTATTTTTGGTAAGTATACCGTGGCGATCACAGCCTTATCGCCATTCCGCCTGGCCTGCAGACTCTGCAGATATCTGCAGGCTTCGGCTCCGGCAGAAGCGCAAGGATATCCTCCGACGACGGAGGTGTTCCGGCCTCGGATCTCGAGCCCCCAAAGAGCAGGGCCTGGCTCCTCATCTCAGGGACGCCGCCAAGGACTCCGAAGAGCTCCGGCCTTGGGCCCCGAAGGATCCCGAAAGCCCTCCGCCATCCGTTGCTCTTTTCGTTTTTTGTCGCAGTCTCTTGGAGTCCTAGACTTGCGTGGAGCTTTTAAGAAGAGCGCGGATGACCGAGAGCCGGTCGTGACCTAGCAATGAGCTGTCATCGGGTTCGTTTTGAGGTCAGGGGCCAAAGCTGGACCGGACATGGACAAGGCACTCGAAGAGACCCTGCTGCAGGCCGCCAACCTTGAGAGAAACAGATGCGTTCTGAGGCATTGTGAGCCGACCTTTCCAGAAGCCCTGCCAGACCCGAATTGGAACATGCCCCATGCGTTATCGCCCGTAGAAGTGAAAACTCTCCTCCGGTGGGGTCAAGCAGCTTGTTTCGAAAAGCTTTGATGCGAGAAGGCCATCAAGACTCGCATCAAGGATCGGGACTTGCAGTTGCCTTGGTGGTTCGAAAGATACTGAGTACTGGCTCAGAACACTACGGCTGGAAGCATTAGCAGAGCCAGGCCCATGGCTGGCAACGTGGTCTACACGCAGCACATGCGACCCTGCAGGCACGGCTTTGTGGAGCCGAAAAAGGAACCTCGTAGAGAACCCCGAAACCCTGAGCTGCCTCGATAGGAGGGCCGGATCCAACATCGATGTCAAGGCCTTCTCCCAGAAAGGTTTCAAAATTCTCTGAGCCCTCAGCGACTGCCTCAATCTCTCAGGTTAGTTCTTTCAAGAAGCTCGGTGCATTTCTTGCCCATGCCGAGGACTTGACGGGTTGAGTCTCCCTTGTAGCTTCTCGACAGCTGCTCTCCGTGCTCCTGACTTGCCGTACTGTGCCCGGGGCAAAACTGTAGACTGTAGGATTCGGGCTCGTTCGGCGTCGGCCGGTGTCGTTTGTGGCTCATGTCTGCGTCTTTTGGAACCGGTGAAACGGAGACAAGGCAAGGCTCCAAGAGCAGGGACGCCCAGGGAAAGCCCCGGGCGGCCCTGACAATGCGACACAAAGCTTGCAAGAAATGCGTCATCACCATCACCATCACCAGACCATCCATGGCAACCATCTTCATCGTAGGAATGCAGGAATCAGTCCGGTGTGCTCATCCAGTTTCATGGTCATCCGGGGCACCACAGCAGAAGCAGTACCTGCTGCACTCGCGCTGCGATCCAGGAGCTGGGATGGATTGCCATGAAGAAGTCGTCAGATCCTGTGATGACGAGGACGGGGATTGTTGCCATGACCAGGCACGGCCAGGCATGGCCAAGCTGGACATGATGTAGGCGGAGACTTACCTGGGGGTAGTCTCACCAAAACTTGACACCGCCGGCGGCTGCCTGGCATGCCTTTGCGGATAAGTTGGCTGCGCTGTCAGACAGCAAGGCATGTCAACGCAGAGACAGAATGTAGGGCCTGCAAGTCTAGGTGAGTCGTATCGTCGAAGGATTTTCCGCGACCATCCCGACATCCGGGAATGGAAGCCGTGGCCAAAGCATGTGGCGGCCTGAAAGAGGCATGTCTTCGAGCCCGGGACACGAAATCTCTGTCCTGAAGGTCACGGCAGAAGCTGACGAAGCACCTGCAGAAGCTGCAGGATGGGCTCCATGGGCCACGGGAAACTCGTGTGGACAGCACTTGACACGGCCAGGGAAAGATGCGAATTGCCCATCTGCAGCCATCCAGGCGGTTTCACTCCCATGTGCAATCCTGCTTGAATTTCTGGCTGCCTCAGATTGAGCTGGTGTGGAAGATAGTGAAGCTGAAGCCCATACTGGAGGCCCGACCGGGGGATTCTTGTGTAGCAGGAGCACTTCGGGCTCCAGGCTGCGCCGCCCCCTCTTCTGCGCTTCGGTGCTGCGCAGGTGCTGAAGGCAGAGATGCCCTCCGATGAGTGCTGGACGCGGGAGGAGTGTCTCACCCTCAGGTTGAGTTGCAGCAAGGGCCGTCGCAGTGAAGCTCTGGCCAAGGTTCCCAAGCAGTGAAGTTGTATGCAGACGCTCGTGACTTGTGGTCCGCCGCTACCAGCGAATGACCCGACTCTTGAAGCCTTGGGCCTTGGGAAGACTTCAGGTTGAAAAACAACCGCAAGCGCATCGGCCCAGACCCGTTGCTGCACTCTGCTCTGCAGACGCCGTCAGAGGACACCTGAGAGCCAAGCGCGAGGGTTCCCGGGGACTGGTCTTCTGTCGTTTTCTTTCTTCTTCCGTGGAAGATTCATATCTCTGGCGTCATTGAAGCCACCGTTGGTTTGGAACAGCGAGGAGTCGGCTGCCAGCATGTCGCCCGACGCCGTCACAGACAATATCCTGAGGCAGTCTTGCCTTGAACGTCTTGGTTTTGAAGCATGCAATGGAAAAAAAACGCAGACACCTGCGCCAGGACACTTCCATTGTGTCATCGTGTGACTGCTCCGTCGGCTTCCCAATGCTTTCGAGTTGTTTGAAAACAGGGGTGATCTTTTTTACAGCTCAAAGGAGGCCACCAATCATATTATATTCTGTTAGATTCCGTTATATTATATTATGTCATAAATTATGTTCTATTCTTTTCTATATTATGCAGAAGCCGATCCCCCAAAACAGCCACCCCGTAGCTCTACGAATCGACTCGGAGCCTTCCGCAAAGGCAGGGCGGGGCCGCCGGAGGTTTGAAGACGAGCGTGAGGCCCGGCAAGCCCCCGTCGGTCCAGGCGCCCCATCAGTGCCTGCTACTTTGGGCTTGGGGTTTAGGGTTTAGGGTTTAGGGTAGTTGCGGTGTCAGGGGGCTTAGAGGGTTTAGTGGTTCCAGGCTTACGGGTTTAGTGGGTTCAGGGTTCAGTATGTTCATGGTTTTAGGTCTAGTGGGTTCAGGGTTTAGGGTTTAATGCAGAGTTCACAGGTTCAGTGGGTTTGGGGTTTAATGTGTTCAGGATTGCGGGTTTAGTCGATTCAGGGTCTAGCGGGTTTAGTGGGTTTGGGGTTTGGTTTGTTCAGGGTGTCGGGGTTAGTAGGTGCATGGTTCAGGGTTTAGTGGATTCAAGGAAAAGCGGGTCTGGGGTTTAGTGTCCCATTCTGGCATCGAGCCCCGGGCCGGAAACTTCTTCCCCTCCGTCTGGGGCGGTGCCCCTCGCCGATCCTTTCAACTTCCACGATGTCGGGGTCCAGACGGAGGGGGAGATCTTCATCGCCACTTTTGTGGTACTCGGTCGAGGCTTTGACTGCGGCAGCCGGCCCAGGGGCTGGCTTTCACCACACCGGGGCCTATGTCGGCGCCGAGCTCCGCATCGTCGGCTACCACGGCGCCTACCCCGCCGACTACCGCACTTTCGGCGCCTGGCGGGGCACATGGCTCTACTGACCTTTTTCGGTGGAGGAAGCCTGCGCCTTTTGAGGCGCAGGATGCGGCGGCCGGCTCCGCCGCAGCCGACCTCGGCGGACCATCTCGCCGCGAACCAGTCGCTGGCCCTATCTAGGTTTAGTGTCTAAATGGGTTCAGGGTTTAGCGAGTTTGGGGTTTAGTGCGTTCAGGGTTTAGGGTTTAGTGGGTTCAGGGTTCAGTGGGTTTTTGGGTTTGGCGGGCTTTGAGGATTGGGAGGTTTGGGGTTAGGGTCTGACGGTTTGCTGTTGGAGCTAAGTATGGTCCGCTTGTCCTAAGAGCTTCGACACATGCGTCGACTGCTATGCTGCAGGTGAGAACAGACACACGCCGTGGCCACAACGTCACTTTGATCCAGGGGCTCGAGGCACAGAGCTCGCACTTGCTAAAGACGTGTGCGTCCTTGCAAGAAACGGAGTTGATGAAATTGTGAAGCTAGCCTTTTTTGGCTTACTCATGAACATGCTGTCTATTTCCAAACGCTTGTGCTCTGAGTGCTCTGCCCATGGATGTGCTAACATCCCCTGTCATGGCTTCGCAGCCACACTTGCCACTCAACATACAGTAGAGAAGCATTGGTGCCATGGATGTGCAAGATGAAGCGCCGCCACAGCGGTGCGGGGCTTTTGTTTTGGGCTGCCATGGGCATGCTCCTTGAGTAGGTATTTATGGCCTGTCGTCATGTCCATCCCGGTTGTGGATCTGAATTGACATAGGCAGCGCACGAACATGGCTGATTTGCGCGAGTCGCTGGCCGCCGTCGGGCAGTGTCCTGAAGACTGAAGGTTACGCTCTTTTCCTCAGTGTAATGCGTAGAGCCAAGACTGCAGGTGCCGCGATGAGGGAGTAAGAGGAACCTTTGCAGACAAGCTGAAGCTGAAGGTGGGGTGGTCGGATACGATGCAATGTTTTGTCGCGTTGTTGCTGGTGTCTTGATTGTCTTCGGTGTTGCTAGAGTTGTCTTGTGTTAGCGGTCGCTGCCCTGCTGCTGTTAATGTTGCTTTGGGTGCCGGTGGCGTGTGCAGTGGCCAGTTCGTCGTCGCATGCATGCTTCAGCTTGGAAGACTTGCCGGTGTGTTTTACATTTCTCCTGTTTGCAAGGCCGCGACAGACGCAGAGATACTTCGGGACATTTCTTCCGCTCTGGCCAGTCCTGGCCCAGAGGCAGGCTAAGGCTAAGACCACCCTGAACCTTACCGGTGGAAGCGCCAATTCGGAGGCTGTCCATGCTGCAGCACTCGCACGCCACCAAAGTTCACACATGTGGGGGCATAACGCGAAAATGGTATTGGTGTATTTTTGAATACACGGTCTCTCTGAATTCCTGAACTCCGAGGTCCGCTCCATTTCGATCACTCCGCAAGCAGCAACCAACGTCTGCAAATTTGTGGGGGCCCTTGGAGACATCGCGAGACGCTTTCAACCTGAAACTTGTCTGAGATGGGCTGAGGTGCTACCGGCACTTTGCAGTGCTCTGCATCGCCAGAAGGAGATCTTCTGCCATTCGAAGACAATCCGGTGCCAGACAGACGTTTTTCGAGCGCCCGGAGGAGACGTGGTTGCTGGCCTGGGCTCTTGCATCCATGATCCGCCTGGCGGGACTCGGGATTCTAAGGATCTTCAAAAAGCCTTCTTTCTGTTTTCCGGGGAGGCCCAGCACCAGGAGACGCACCACCTTCTGAAGCGAGGGGGAGCGGCACCTTGCCGGTCACTTGTGGTCCCTTTTCGAAGTGCTGGGATGAGCCTGTCAGAAGGTCCAGACACTGGCGCTTTTTACGCGGCCCTCGTACCGATCGAGACCCGGGCAGGTTGCCCCGGTTCCGACATTCTCCGGCACCGCTCTGCGCTGTGCGCTTTGCGACAGTCTGCACAGGTGCGCCTGGACGTGATGGCTTCCATAGGCCGCATGGGGAAGACCGAGGTGGGGCGAGGCTGTGCACTCAGAGATGACCCGCAGGTCTCGGATTCCTCAGCACTGCCGGCAAAGATACAGCTGCCTCCGTCCCTTTGAGGGTGGTTCCTGAGCCTCTCAGCTGCAAAACTTCCTGGAAGAGGCGTTTTCTCTCTGCCTGCACGTGCCCAACACACAAACGCTGCGCAGTCGCGTCGCAGCCTCATATGGCTATTACATTGTCCTCAACCCCAGATCTGCCTGGCGAAAGACTCCTCACAATGTAAGCCGATAGAAGATGCTTGCTTCCGTCATTGTTAGCCTGGATGCGCGTCTTGTCGAGCATCACACATGTGAAGCTTTCATATGCTCTGTGGCATGCAGCGTCTGCATGTGTTTTGCCTCTGCTGCGTAAAGTCTGGTCTTGCTTAGCAAGGGTGTTTGCACCCACAAGCGCTGAATCAATCATTCAAAGGGTAGTCAATCAGTCAGTCAGGCAGGCAGCACAGCAGCCCATCCACTCTAGCCAGTCCCAGCGGCAAGGTTGGTGCGGTTGCTATCTGCTCGTTTTCGAAACGATGTTGACCAGGCGCACAGCCCTGCACAGGGCGATGAAGCGTAGTGCGAAACACATCGAAACACCTGCGGTCTGACGCAGGTTGTGGAAGGAAGGATTTTCTGTGGCATGCCCGTGGACTACAGGCTATGAGGGACATTTCGGAGCGGCTTGCGTCCCTTGCGGCCCTTTCGCCGCATGTTGAGGCCTCGCTTCGTCGCTCAGGCCTTGGTCGGCATCTGCGAGGTGCGGGTCGGAGGTAGTTGCTGAAAATGCTGAAAATTGCTCAGCTCGCCAGGCCTCTGCCGCCCATGCTGCTGTGGCCTGGCAAACCGCCTTGCCATCACTTCTTCATGACATCTTGACTGGCGGAGTCCTCGGACAAGTTAGCTCCGCCCTCCGCCCTGCTCTCACCATGAGAGCGAGGCGAGCTGCCCAATGACACGGAAGTGAACCAGCCCTACGGCAGCCCTGACGTTGTGGAAATGGCGAACAGGCACCATCGCAGCAGGCTCGTGCAGAATGATGCAGACTGCGATCAACGCTCCAGGTGTCGGACTGCACTCCTGGCTCATGCGAAGCAAGGGGGGATAGCATCAGCCGAGGCAAGGTGCGGGTGCTCGAAAAATCTGCTGAAGGAAGTTAGGCGGTTGGGGTCGGCGGCTAGCGGCTTCATGTGAGGCTGTGGCAGCATTGCGCTCTGCTCCAGCAGCTCCCAAGGGGACCTGGGCACCGGCCTCAGGCGGAGCAGAGCGGAGCAGAGCGACGAGGGCTTCAGCCCCGAAACCGAGGAGAAGCGGTCCGGCCAGCTCAGTGCCGGACCAAAGAGTCGTCTCTGACAGGGAAAAAAAGGATCACGGGGCCTTTCCGAATACACTGGGCATGCTTGTGATGGCCATGGTGTCGTTCGGAATTCGTGTGTTTGCATGAGAAGAGCCCTTCTCTCACGAAGCGAATTGTGGAGCATGCCGTATCAGTTGTTCAACTTTTGTTCCGTGTGAAGACTGATGTGTGCTTATGCTCCGCGGCTCTTCCAAGGGTTTCCGAAGTCGTGTTGAGCGCCAGGCATATGGTGTCAACATGGAGGCAGGTCAGATGCAATGAGCCAAGCAGCGATCGGGCTATCGTCACCTCGGAAGCACTTCTCAGGCCTTTGCATCTTCCTTGCAGAAGGCTTTGGCATCTGCGGCCGTTGTGGAAGAGGACCTGTCGCTGTCTCAAATATCACTGGGTCAGTCCTTAACGACCTTAGACGACCCTGACTTAGCGCCAAGCCGTGGCTTGCGCAGGCCTCGCCAACGCAAGCGGCCTGCGTGATGGTCCAAGGCAGGGCCATGTTGAAGCCTCCCTCAGAAACACACTTGGTGCACAGCTGTGCAGGCTTTTGGGATGTGGCTGTCATGGACTGGCTTGTAAAGGCTCAACGGCATGTCAGAGTGCGAATCTGCATGTGTTGTCTGTATCCATTTTGTATCCGGGGTGCCGTTTGCCAGGGGAAAATCCGAATTCAATAGGGCTCTGGAGTGTTTGTTAGATCGGCGGTGGGGCGAAGGGAAGTGAAGAAAGCGCTCCGTAGTACCCCGAATCCATCGGGGCATGCGACACAGGCAAGTTCAAGGTGGCTGCTGCTTGCGCGGCTATGCCTCTTAACAATCAGAAAGGGGCTGGATATCGGCTGCCGGCCCGCTGGGCCTCTTACCCGCTACTTCGTTTCTTGGATCGAGCCACACTGTGGTTTGAGAAGGTTGGGACGGATCTGGTAGGACTGAAGGACGCAGTGGATGCGACAGACGCGAGATAGATATGATGCAGAATAGACAGTGTCTATCAAAGGCTTTCTGCTGTTTCGCAGCCCGCTTGCGAGATCGTCGCCCTAAGCCCCCCGAACTGCCTGCCCAAACCGCAAGTCATACACACTGAGCCCCCGACCCCACTTGCGGAAACCGCAGATCCTCTCGAGCCACTTGCGGTTCTTGCAGGTTGGCATTCCTTCAGAATGCATCCTGCATCAGGCTGGGTCACTGCATGTCCTGGCCAAGCCCGACTGGCTAAGTACATAGTACAGAGAGCATCTTCTTTTACGAGGGCTAACAAGTTTGGCGGATAGGGCTTCAGGAGAATAGTCGGGGGTTCTTGGTCGCCTGCAACTCCCTTCTGCGGCTAGTCCATCTGAGATTGCTGGCCACCGCTTTGCCTTGATCGTGCAGAAGGTTCTGAGACACAATGCCGCTTCGAAAAGAGATCGCTTCCTGAAAGCATTCTTATGCTGTGAAAGACACCGGAACGGGGGCTGTGGGCGCTGGCCCTGCTGTCCAAGCCCTGAGTGAAGGATTGTGGCTATGAGTGAAGCTTCTCTGCTTGTTTTGGCCAGGCCAAGAAAGGGCAGCAACAGAAGAAAGCCAAGCAGGCTTCCAACATCGTCAAGTCCTGAGACTTCGCAGATTTTGTGAACACAAAAAGATGCGTCGTTCGGGCAGCGCTTTCATGGACCACGTTTGCAATCCTCTGAGATCAAACCATCCTTGCTGTTGGCCCTGCAGCTGTTTAGACTTACTTGTAGACGTTAGGGGACCAGCTCCGAAGCAGATGCCGCGTCGACGCAGGATCGGAGGCAAAGCTCTTCTGCACATACGCAAGTTCCCTCTTTTCAGAGTCGAAGAGCGATGCTTGTTGCCGCAAGGATAGTGTCCGTGTCATGGATGACAGGGGTAGTTTTGAAAACCCTGGCCAGCTGTTAGTTGTTTCTTCCCTCACCGTGGGATGTGAGATGTGACCAGTGGTTTCGGAAGAAAGCCCGAAGATTAATTGGCTTTGGACCTTCAGAAGGCCTTCAAGAGGGGATTGAAGTGCGTGGTTCCGCTGACTATGAAACATCCGCAGGCTGTGGCCTCACGTTGTGCCTTATCGCCTTGGGATGCTTCGCTTCTCGGATTTCGGCCTTTTGCAGGCCCGAAATTGCTGTGACTTCAAAAGGTTCCTGAAGTTGTCTGTGGCTGAGAGGCCCTCCGTTGCCAGAAAGCCACCGCAGGCACCCGTCTTGGACCCCGAAAGCTTCCGTCAGTTGCACAGGGACCTGACCTGCAGGTCTCCCGGGCAGCAAGAACACCGGGAAACCAACCGACTGAACAGCCAGGTGCCACCAGCACCTGACATGGCAGTTCCAAAACTAGACGTGTTTGTCCCACGCTTTTTCGATGCGCCGCAGATTTTCCTGAATTTGCACCTTCGGGGGACTTCATGCTGGAGACCCCCTTTTTCAAGGTGGAGAAGTACAAGGAGGATCCTGGAACGACAAAGGGCTTGTCGGATTTGCGAGCAGGGGATTTCGGTTCTGCAGCATGAGCTTCAGCTTGTTACTTGGTTGTTGAAGTGCCAATGACACAGTGGGACTCCATGGCCGATCAAGTCTGCAGGGAGAGAGCTTGGGTCTCGCTGCCGTGGCTGGTGTTTTCGTTGCGATATCGTTGATCGCCGGGGTCATGGCATCATCAAACAGGCCGGGACGTTGAAGTCTGCAGCCATAAAGCTCGTGGCTGTGCTAGACTTACGAGTTTTCGCAGTTGCCTTGTGCAGGGGTCAAGTCAATCTGCTGGAAGAGCAGCCCGCGCAGACAGAGGGCAGCACTACCAAGCCAAGTCTCAACAAGGAAGGAAAGCCGATCAGAACGATAATGCTCTGATGCGTTTCGTTGTACAGTTCAGTAGATATTGCCGCATGTGCTTCTGCTGAGCAGAATACCCACACTGACTGGCAAGGTGGCCCAAAAACCTCGCAGACACTGCCATAACCTCTCTGCTGCATCGGTAGCGCGTTATGCATGTGAGTATTGAGATGCAGACTCATCGACAGGAAGTCTCGGCTCTGATCACAAAACGACATGAGCTGCTCAATGCATCGTTTTGGTCTGGAAGACATAGTCAAGTTCCACTCAGCCGAGCTTACGAGACGTTAGGAGATAGCGTGTGAAAGCAGCGCAGTATGCTGGAATACCCGGCGTGATGGAGCTGCTAGCAGATGAGAAAGATGGACGCTACAAACGCCTGCAGCGAAGGCACATATATCTGCATCGTTTGGCGGGCGATGACATTTTCGCAGCGAAAGTCGAAGCCCAGCCAAAGGCACCCATGCGAATGGTGCCTGGAGATGAAAGGTTTCACCAGTTTAAACGGTTCTGGGTCCCGAGAAGTTGTCCAGATGTCAAGTGCTGGGTTTGGATGTTGGCTCGATGTTGATATTTGTTTGAGCTTCCATCTAAGACTGGGGGTGTCCCATCAGATGTAAGACGACAGCATTAAATTATGCGTCTGCCGGCAGGATGATTTCTTGAGACTGTTTGCGTGAGGCGTGGTGTTTCTTGTGCACTGAGGTGCTGCGATTTGCAGTGTATGCCGGCATTGCCACGTTTGTCATCATGGAGCGAAGTCAAGTCGGAGATCTGTCAGCAACGAACCAGGCACTCAGAACCGCCTTGACCAGCCAGTATTTCGAGCACAGCCCTGTGCCGAAAACTTTCGAAGATATCAAGAACGAAGCGGACGTCATCTCCTGGCTTAGATGGCTTTGCACGGCTCTAGAACAAGCAGGCAGCGAGCAGTCTTACGGCAATCCCCTGTCACTGCTCTTGCACAATAGAGTGCTTCCCAGGGCAGGGGCATGCTTGGATGCTGCTGCTCTGAGCTTGAGCTTCCGACGTGTGAAGCTGTCGGCCGACAGCGCGTCCACAACCACAGATCGGTTTTCCCAGCTATACCCATTGACTTGGATGGCAAACACCATCCAACCAGGGCAAGCTGGTGGCGATGTGGAAGCAACGTCGAATATCCGCGCTGGCAACGTGACATGGATGCATACGCCACCATGCTCGTCGTGCGGCAATGCAGGACCCTTGATTGCATTCTTAATCTTGGCATTCCCTCGCGAGGGTCAGGGACGGGGCTGGGCCATGGAGCGATGGCCGTCCCAGCAGGGCTCTGTTCAAGCTGGGCTGTCCTTCGTGTGGGTTGTGTGGAGACCGGGACTGGAAACATCCTTCCGTTTAGCCCTATAGTCTCCATTGTAGTTCCTTGTCTCTTTAACCAACTTATATGTGGGACCCTATTGGACCAAGCTTACGAATCCACAGGGTGCTCATGCGCGCGTGGGACTCAAACAAAAAGGTATAGACGGCTTAGTATCAGGGGGGGGCATGGGATTCATTGTGGCTCCTAGTTGCTGTGCCAAGGATATGAGGATGCAGGAGGATACTTGGCAGTGATCACCACGAGGGCATCAGGTACTCTTGTCCACTTGATCGATAAATCACAAACTTTTGACACCTCGCCAGCTGAAGCTCTGCATCATTGTGACAGAAGACTTCAGAGATCTGGAACAGTGAGCCTGGACACGTTTTTGGCCGAGCCCTTTTTTGATTCTCAGCTCGGCAGTCTCACAGTGGAGTTACAGTCCTACAACGCGAACTATCAAAGCCTGTCCAGGGTTCGGGTCTTCTTTGAGTTCAGTGCTGCAGGGACGCTCTCCTCGCACCGTATGGCGTCAGACACAATTCGTTTGGACGTGTCCCACAGTTGGATTCAATACTTCGAGTATGCTTACCTGATCCTTACATGCCTTTACTTCTTCGAGCTGGTTTACAGAATTGGAAAGGGCTTTCCGACATATTTGAGAAACTTCTGGTGCTATGTGAATGCGTGCTCCATCATTGGGAGCATCAGCTGTTTCGGCCTCTGGTACTACTACATGCCTCGCTTGAGAGATTTCCGGGTTGGACGCCAATTTGAGGAGCCAGCGGAATTCCAATCCCGGTTCGCAACGTTCTCTCTATACATAGTGGCATCCTCATTTGCAACATTCACCATCTACTTGAGGGTGTTGCAATTTCTAGCAAACACGCGTTCGCGCGTGGTGCTGCTTCTGAAGACCATCATGTTCAGTGCCGGCAACATGGTTGTCTACATCCTGTACATTGGTGTGATCTTCGTTGGCTTCTTCACATTTGCCCTGACGCACTTCTCCTCATTGTCTGCAAACTTCACAGACCCTTGGACCACTTTCGTCAGCACCTTCTCGCTATTCTTCGGGGACCTGAGTGTTGTGGACGGCTTCCAGGCACCACTTCGTGTGCCATTTATTTGGCTATTCATGTTTTTCTTCTTCTTTTTGTCGGTGCAGATGTTCAATGCCATCATCAACTATTCCTACAACAGGGTCTCAGAGGACATGAAATCAGTCTTCCAGCGTGAGCAGTATGAGCAGCAGCTGAAGAGCAAGAAGAAAGGTCGAAGTCTTTGGCAGGCTCTCACCAACTTGCGGAAGCCAAAGCCTGCGGAGGAGCAGGATGATGTTGAAGCTGTTTCTGCAGGAGTGAACTCACAGGCAGCAGCTGCCATCCCGGATGCATCCGCTCTTGATGAAGCAGTTCGACAAAAGGTGGAGGAGTATCGTGGTAGAGACACGAACAAAGCTGCCAAAGATGGCTTCTGTACTGCTCTGGCCTACTGCATCATGGTCTCATGCTACATCTGGTTCCTGTACGTGAACATGATGGTCGAGGCGAAGAGTTCTGTTCGAATCGTGGTCAACGAAACCGTGCATGCACTAGAGGTGCCCTCGCCCGTGTCTGGTGAAGCTCCTTTGCAGGGATGGGCGGAAATTCACGCCTGGCCGCAAGCAATTTCTTGGATTCGCCATGGGCTCCCTGAGCTGATTTTCAATTCAACTTCCGCGGCCAGTTTAGCAATCGCTACGTCAGGAGCAAACCCTGTGGCAGCAGAAGGTGTGCGATGCCTACGATCTTGGAACTGCTTCCTGACTGGTAGCTCGGGGAATGCCACCAACATCGTGCGTATCACGCAGAAGCGGAGCAGAAGAGTCTTGAACAAGGGGGCACGCCACGATTCGACTCCCGATGACGAACGCTTCATCGGTGGAGTTGACAATGCTACAGGCCAGGAGATCCAGCAGATCCTGGTGAACGCATCAGGCTTCTCCCGGACAATTGACCCTGACTCCCCCAACAATGTCGCCGAGGACACGGGGGCAGGGTTTCAGTTGGCTCTTGGACAGGTTGAACTTTGCAAGACGGTGGCGGCAGACGGACCGGGCAGCTACAAGAATGCAGGCGGGATTGTATGCCAGCTGGATTCAGATCCGGCGACATTCCAGGATCAGATGGATCTCATGATGGCAAGCGACTTTTTCACCAGTGCCTCTGCAACGTTCGTGGTTGAGCTGGTTACCCACAATACCAACAGAGACATGATGAGCTACATCGTGATCAAGATAGTGCAGACGCCAGCCGGTGAAGTGCGAAAAGACTTGCGAGTCTTCTCGTTGGCACTCTTCGGCTGGGATGTTGGAGTGGACAAGTTGAGCTACTTCATCGGACGTCTACTCCCTGGAGTCATTTATATGATCCTGGTGATGTGCTTCACGATCATGCTTTATCGAGAGCTGCAGACGGAGCATACTCGCCGAACAGTCTCCATGGAGGGTGCAGGGAAAGGTCCAGGCTTTCTGACCACCATCTACACCTTCTTCACCACAGACATATTCCGGCCAGTCGATACGCTTTCGTTTCTGATGTCTTTCTGGAGCTTCGTCCTATTCATCATGTGGTTGGTGAAGGAGGGGGACCTGCCGCAGAAATTGCAGGGGGACTACGGGTCAATTGTTGACTTCGCAGCTGAGTTGACGGCCCAAGAGCGGGAGTACAACCGCATCTCCTCCGCGAATCTTCTGCTCATCTTCGTCCGGCCCCTTCGCTTCATTCGTGAAGATCCCCGCATGCAAAGGCTCAATCAGACCTTGAAGGAGGCCAGAACCGACATCTTTTGGTTCATCATTGTTCTCGGCATCGTTCTCTTTGCATGCACCTTGCTGTCCTTCGTGTCCTTCGGACCTCGGTTCATCAAATGCAGCGACATCTTCTCGGCCTTCATCTTCTGCTTTTCATTCATCCTCGGAGAGTTTGACTTCTGGAGCCTGTTCCAGGCAAACCCTGTGATGGCGGTGATCTTCTTCTTCCCCTACCTGATTCTCGTGTACTGCGTGTTCACGAACATCTTCTTTGCAATTCTTGACAGGTTCTTCGTCTCAGCAGATCCTCCACCCATTAAGTTCAAGAGGAAGCTCAAGCCACTCTTCTCCAAAATCTGTCGTTGCATCGATTGGGACGATGATTTCGTCATGGAGGGCGACCCCAAAGCAGCCAAAAAAGATGGGCCAGTCTCGCGTGCAGGGCGTGTTGCTGACACTGCCAAAGTGATCCATAACATCCGGAAAGGTCTGGATGGGGAAGCTGGGAGTCAAATGGCGCTGAGCAAGCCACTACGTGAAGTCTGTGACATGGACGATAGGCTTTTGGGTGTAGTCAAATGGGGGCACGATGAGGCAGCATCCTTGGTCAGTGACTTCCAAAACCTGCTCGTCAAGAAGCAGCAGTACAAAAACGAAGATGTGTTCATAAAGCAGGTGGTCATGAAGAAAGTTGATACAGATGAGAGCAGGACAAGAGCCGAAATGGAGGAGGCCCATCGGCAGATGAGATATGCAGCTGAAGTGCATGAAGTCATGGCGCTGCGTGATCAGCAGACGCTGGCAAAGTACATCTGGCTGCTTGAGCAGAAAATTCAGAAGAAGATGAACGATCAACATGCCCTGAAGATGGAGGCCTGCAATTTGAGGGATGGGTCTGTGTGTTTTTTCCTATCATAAGAAAACGTGGGCACCTTGCGGGCAGGTCCAGCACCTTCAAGAAGAAATGGACAGCATGCGTTTCACCAAAGACGAGCTGCGGAACCAAGCCACAGGCATGAGAGCTGCAGAAGCGCCGGATGCAGAAACTCAAGGTTCGGAGCTAAGTCGTTTGGCAGCGATGCAATCATTTCTTTTCCTTCACCCCTAAGACAAGACAAGGCCTGGAAGGTTCTGACGAAGAGGAGGATTTAGAGCTTCGCGAAGGCGAAGATGCTATAGCACCGGCGGATGATCCTAATGCAGCGATGGACCATCCGCTGCCAAGCGAGAATCCGACAACAATCTCGATGCTGAAGGCGTTGGGTGAGAAGGCATGAGGGGGCATAAGGTGCTTTGCCCTCGACTGTTTCACCTAGCATGAACGACCGTTCCGAGCTTGTATAGGTTGAGCGGTTGCTGCAAGAGTGCAGCGAAGGTAGTGGTGGCTTAAGACACCTCAGTAATTTCAGATGCAAAGCTCAGAGCATCTACTGGCTTGGAACTTGCATAGAGAGTGCCAGTTTCTGACGGATTGGGTGATGATGCGGCTTGCACATTCTTGGTTCAGCTTCCGCAGAATAACCGCGAGGACCTTGCCGACAAATCTGAATTTGGTCCAGCTTGAGACGCAACAGTGCATCAACATCAGCTATCTGCTTGCAAACATGCAGCCCAGAACAAGCTCCAATGTGTAGGGGTCGGTCAGCTGGCTGTTTGGCCGCGATGACCAGATGCGACTTGCATTTTGGATGTAATGGTAGATTTGTTCAGAGCATGTCGAGTGAGTCGAGTGAGCCGCGGCATTCTCGGCTTGAGGTACTACTTGCAACCTTCCTTTGCGTCGCGAGCCGAAGCTTCCTTCTCGGTCCTTTGAAAAACAGAGTTGAGAAAGGATTTCCAGGGATGGCATGTCAGGCCCCGAAGAGGCGTGCGCGGACTTGAGCAGAGCGTGGTCTCCCCAGCCTTCCTCGAAAGTCGCGGCAGGGCAACTCTCAACAGCAAGCCGGTGTTGCTCAGTCTGCTCAGGTGGTCTGATGTTGCACGAAAGGGGTTGGACTACTACGCTGAGGCGCTCTCCCTGCCTTCTTGCAGGGGTGTTCCCTTGCATCCGTGTCATCGTTGGAAGTGCCGAGAGGCCGACAGCAAAGGCATTAAGATCCAGATTAGCCGCGAGGTGCGCTCCAAGCGACGATCTTAGATTTTTTGTGGTCTTTGGTCGGGTGCAGGCGAGGATCTGTGATGCACGGACACCAATCCACTGATGTCCAATGTGTTCGGCTCATGGAAGACGAGGGTTGATCGATCCAACATCCCGGCTCTAGACGCGACGTAACCTGGGGCAGCATTGAAAGTCTAGTGGGGGGGCAAGAGCACCCAAGAGACAAACGAACGAGTAATTAGTGGGCCAATGACCTTAGAAGGCAGATGTAGTGGCCGCTGCACATGACTGAGGGCATCGTCGGATGCGGTTACTGCTGCCGCGGCCGTGGCCTCGTGGTTGTTAGTCTGCGGCATTAGAACTGATTGCTATGCTTCGGTGGTAGCACAAGCCGCTGCTGAGGCTCAGTATAGACAATTTCTCGAAGACTTTGGGAACTTTGATGAGGCTGGTGCACTTCGAAGTCCTCCTTTGGTTTGCTCAAGAACCGACTGATGCAGCTGTGCCATGCCCGCGTGCTGAGACCTGCGCCAGCAGCGATGCAGCGAACCACGTACAAACGGCGGCGAAGCTTTGCCGGAGGTGCTGCGGGCTTTTTGGGTCACCTTTGTTATGCTGCTATTGTGATTGTAAAGGTAGAGTAATGCTATGGTTCAGCTGATCCTCATCTTCCTATGATGGCTGCGGTGCGAAGGTTTCAGCGAATGCACTAGCGCATGGAGGAGCAGAGAGTGCAAGGAGAGATCAGATGAGGATTGCACAGGAAAGTTGGGATAAGGAGACGATGCTGGACAATAACAGCAGAGAATTGGCTGTGCGTGCTGGGGGCGATGCAGAGATTCTGCACAGTGGCACTGCACGGCAGGTTTTTCCTGCTGCTGTTCAAGCGCGGCTCTTATTTCCACTTCGTCAGAATCGGAGACTACAGCACAGTAGCTGCATAGGCTTTTGTTGCAGAGTTCGGCATATGCGGCTTCCTGCTTATATGCGGGCTGTTGTAGATGATGCTGCACTTCGGGGTCTTTCTTCGGCTTTTTGGCTGAGAGAGGGAAGCCGGGAAGCCCAATCCTCCAGATGAGGCCGCGGTCACAAGCGAGGCGCCTGCTGGAAGAGGTCTCACTTCAGCAAGCGAGCACCGGGGTTGACCAGACGAAGCAGCCTCGTTCGATGCTTTTTGTCTGTGCCCAGGGAAAGGTCTTGGACGATGGTCTGGCGGAGTTCATGTCGGCGGCGACGCCGCGCCTGCAAACTTCTTGGACTTCTTCGCTTGCTCTGTGCTTTGTCGCGAAAGCAGGCCGTGGTCTCTGCTGCTTCACTCAGGCAGGGCCTCGGCTTTTCTTTTGCCGTTTCATCTGTTCCTTCAAGCGGGTGCTGCACTGCTCAGGCACAAGTCAAAATTACTACATCTAGAGTCTAGAGAGCATGAGTGTGGACTTATGGGCGACGTAGGATGCTCAACGTAAACTGTCTCGTTAAGCACACGCACACACAATCACACCCCCACACACGGACTTTCCACAGCCGGCGCGGGCAGCAAGATGCCAGGATGTTCCTTGTTAATTCCTTGGAACGTCTCACATACTTGGCCCTTGGTGATTGCGGCTAGTGCGCAAGAGGGAGGAGGATCGGGGATCGCGTAGATGCCAGGATGGCCCGTCTTCCCTCTCGCGGCGCTGGCCCGGCCCCGATGCTATTGTGCCAGAGTAGTTCCAGACCTGGTGAGGATTCTGGGAACATCTGGGAGCTATCTTGGTTAAAGGAAGGTCGAAAGTTCAATCGTTGAAAGAGCTACTTTGTCTGACAAGCTGGTGTGAGTGTGCTGCCGATCGTTCTCTGTGTGTGTGTGTGTGCGAGAACATCGCCGCCTGTTGTCTGTGTCTCTTCCATGACAGGAGCGCGCGGTAGCAAACAGTGTTGAACTACTTGAAAGCCACTGGTCTCCGAACGGATCCTGAATCCGTGGTTTAAGGTTTAAGGTTTTGATAAGATGTCAAGAAAGCTAGCTGTGTGGAGCTTGCAGGAGTTGTCGTTTACCATTCACTTCCCAATAGATCAATAGATCGGTTTAGACAAATCCCTGACTAATACTTAATACCAGTAGTTAACATCCTAACTAATAGATAACTTCAAAATTGACTATTCAGCTAGTTATGAACTAACTATTGGTTAATTCATGCTAGCTTTTCCTTGACTATTTTAGCTAATTTTGCTCTGGAAACCCTTGTTGTTCAATGACAACCGTGTGCAGTTGGCATAGAGAGGTAGTGCGATTTTTGACATTTGTTGTGTATTTTCGCTGGCTAGGTCATGGTTAATTGTATGCTTGCGACACGATAGCGGGGGAGCATTATGTTTGCCAAACACCCACAGTCGAAGAGTTGAGGCAGGGGCCGCAAGAGGGGGGGCTCCCTCCTGCGCCACCAGGGTCCCCCCCCACCACAACAAGGTCCCGGCAACATTGTGTCAGGTGGGGCGGGTGGGCCCCCGCCCCCTCACCTTTGGTCCCGCCCCACCTCAAGGTCCATCATGGTGCATCTGTTTAAGCGATACTCATTATGGCAACTTGCGTTTTGTGCTTACGTGGTCGAGTGCGTCTACATGACCGGTTTCACGTCTGACCCCTCAGTAATTAAATTAGCTGAGCTGCCACCAGGACAGATCGAAGCTGCTCGTAGATGGCCGAGTTATTGCTTACTCAGGGACACTCCTACGCGCAATAAAGGTCGCTCAAGGCACTGCGATACGACAAGGGTGTATCTTTATGGATAATGCTATCATCCTGCAGGCTTCAGCTTCATGGCACTGCGTACGTGCTTGCATCCACTCTTCGGCTCTGGTTCCTTTTGTTGGCCTTTGCTCAAGTGGTCACGACCCCCAAATTGAACGGAGGGCGATAGGTCTTCTCCAACCCCTGGCTCTGCCTCTGTCTCACGCACCGCCCCGTGAGAGCCGTCAGAAATGCCGACGAACGATGTACGTATTCAGAATGAGAGCAGGAGAGGTATCGGTATCAACAGTCAACAGATACTAGCCAGGTGTCTGATCGAACCATGGCATGGCCAGAGTGACAGAGTGGCATCTGGTCCGTCTATTGATGATGCCTTCAACCCTGAACACAGGTGGAATCGGAACTCAGAGAGGACACGCGCGTCTCTTTGGCCGTGTACCGGCTGGGATGGAAGGACGCGCTGTCTTCTGCTCAGCAAACGCTAGAAGCCGCTTGTGCTCAGCATTACAAGCCGCTTGCGATTAGATGCAGAGGAGCCTTCAGAGAACTGCAACGAGGAGCAGGAGGTATCTCAGCTTTATCTGGCATGCTTACTCCTCCTGCCCTACAAACGCACACCAGACTCCCTGACCGTGACATGCTCTCACACTTAAGACTGTCACAAGGGTACAAAGGCGGAGGTGTTACTGCCGCAGTTTCTAGTGGTAGACATGGCACAGCATGTTTTCCTTGTACCTGACGAGTTCACCTGTCTACTGGTGAGGCTGTCCGTTTGGCAGCTTCCCTGTACGTCGGAGAAGGTGCCAACCTGCAATCTCCAGCATCCATAGTTAAGAGTCGCAGGTCAGGTGCAGAGACTTGGCAGGCCGAACTGTGAAACTCACGCACATTATTGACTTTTTCCACCAAGAGGCCCCCGATTCTCAGCGCTTGTCGTGTTGCATGCCGTCTTGCCAGTGTTCTTCGGAGCCACAAAGATCTAACGTGCGATGTAGGTAGGCGACGTAGATCTTGCAGCGGGCCCAGAATGATACATGTCACTGGTTCCTGCCTGGCTAAGCCAGCAGATGTCTTCCGGAATCGCGATTTCTTGCAACATCCAGCACGAGCTTTCGGGTTTTGGGGGATCCCAAGGTTGGTGAGGAATTCATTACTGTTCTGGCCCTCAGCCGATTCCAGGATTGTCGCAAGGCTACAAGTGACTGCTCATGAATCAGCGTTCGCATCAGCGTTCGCATGCATGCAGGTTTGTCTCTGTGTGTGTGTGTGTCTGTTGAACCGGTGGCAGTTTCTCCAGTCGTCACATGCTCAGGCTGTGGCACGAGCCAAGCCACGCCACCCTGGCGTTTGCACTGCGGCCTTGGGTGTCTTGTGCTCAGCATATGGCCTCAGACAGTTCGTTTGCAGAGATGCGCTGCTGTCAGAGCATGTAATTTCGGCTAGGAATAAGAAGTGCTAGGGTGTGCAGGATGACTGTCGAAATATGTTTGAGTTTGTTTCTTTCCGAGCGTCTCCTATCACAAAAAGAGTGGGTAGCCAACAAAGGCAAGGAGATGCAAAGAGATTCAAATCACATCACACGTCCTCGAGGATGTCGCAGCATGCCGTTACAAGAAGCATTGTCCTTCGGAGGCTTCTCATTGGTATGCATCCTAGGTAGCCTATGCTGCGCTTGCAGATGCTTTGCAATGCCACTGGTACCGATCTCAGAGCCTGCCGGGCCCATACAGTAGCTTTTTAGACTTGAAGCCTGATTCCAGAATCGGCAAAAAAAACCGAAGGCGCCGACCAACGTCTGCGCTCACGCACCAACTTGCTCGGTGCCCAGAGCAAGGACGGGCGGATTGCAAAACGGGATCAGAACCCACTGACCCCTGCATCCCAGATTGATATCGCGGTCGAGAAGGCCCAGGGAGGCACGCCACGTGCCACCCAGTCACTGATCACCCACTGGAATGCCCTCCAAAAGCAGGAGCCTTGCGGACCTTCGGTGAAGCTGCCGACTCTTTCAACGCCTGGAGCCCGGGCCAAGGGAGCTCAGAGTTTCCGGGCTTTGCATTTTCCCGTCGAGGCCTTGGCAAGCTCCCGATGGCCATTGCTACCACTGCTGTCTCGCTTGCAGCCCAGGTCTGAGGCTCAGCTCAGAACCCTGGGTTCTTGCATTAAAGAAAACAGTACGTATCTTCTGCCTAAAAAGTGGCTGCCTGCTTATGGTAAGTAACTTGCAATTTAGGGTTCTTGACAAGGGGCTCCGAACATGCTGTCAGGTCGGCACCTGCATCAGCGGGTGTCTTGGTGTCCTGGTCATCTCGAGAGGCTCCGTAGCAAGCATGACAGCTGCCCGGTGTTACGGAAACCGGTCTTGCAAGAGAAGTACTAGAATTTTGCATTTTGGATTTCCCATAAATCGAGCCAGGGACCTTAATTGCCCGTTCATCAATGTATGGGAGGCTGAGCTTGGTGGCCTGAATTGGGCGAAGAACTTCGCGCGGGAGGCGACCTGCAAATACATAGCCGGAAGTTTGAAGCAGGGAAGGTAGTGCGCTGTCTGGCGAAGCCGTCTCCATGTGGCGGCTGCTGCGACTTAGCCGACAGGTCTTCAGCTTCCACGACTTCGTGCTTGAGGAAGATGTGGACTGTGTGAGTCTCGGCCACCCTCAGGTTCACTGCAGTGTAGGACCCACCGATGCAGATGCTCCTACCAATTCCTCAGCAGAAATCGCAAAAGCTCGTTGCCACCTGCTGAATTCCCGTTGGGCTCGACAGCCGTGATGGCAAGGCTGCAATCTAGATGCAAGGGGTGTATATAGCAATCCAGTAAGCCGTGTACTGGGACCCGGTGCAGGCTCAATGATTGCAAAGGATACTAATACCATTGCGATTGATGTTTCCTCTACTGCTGCTACAATCCCCAAACCCCCTCCTCCCACAGGACACGTCACCAAGGACACACTCCACCCTCGACATCATCACAACAAGCCACCACCACAACTCCTTATCATGGGGCTCACTAATTTAACTCAGTGCTGTGCTCGTGCTGCGGACCTTCAGCCATTGATGCACGGTGACGAAGTCCGCGGCCGCGGACTTCTTCCTTCTGCATGCTGGTGCTTCAGCTTTCTGGGCCTGCCACAGGAAGCTGAACCACGGGAGCTTGGGAACTTTTCGCACCGAGGCTGACCTTTCGGCTGTCACCTGCTAGCGTGAGCCCGTCTAGTCTTGAAGAGAAGGGCCCAGTGCCGGTCTGCCGCCGAGCTCTGATGACAGGCTTTGTCCGCAGCTCCGCTAAGTCTCTCGGAGCGGTCTCAGCGTGGTACCGCTGGCAACGAGGCAGCTCTTGTGGCTCTTGTGGCCTTCAGACCAGCGTAGACAGCTGCCGCCACGTGAGTCTTGACTGCAGGCACACGGCAATTTGGGCGGCAGCAGCGCAGCGAGCAGCAGAACACCGCAATGCTCCAGTAGCAGTGGGAGTGGCCTCGGCCTCATGGACTTGGAATTGCAATGAATCGGCCATTAAAGCGGCATCAGTTGATTTATGTTTCAGCAAGTCGAGGTCGGTCCGAGTCAGCACGTGTGCAGCTGCTTGGCCAGAATAGAGGCACAGCCCGGCACAGCAAGAGTCTCGTGTGGCTTGGTCCTCGTAGCCTGTATCAGTACGATCTCAGCCATCAACAGCCAGAGACTGCACAGCATTGTCTGTTGTACATACAGGTTACAACTAAAGTGGTGACAGGACATCGAAACACTCGCAGGAATAGTTGCAAGAATGTATATAGTATAAGCACCGGCATAGTCTGCGCACATGCAGTACCAGTACTCTGCCATCCCGATAGCATGCATATTGTACCAGAATGACAAACCATCTGCTCAGAATTCATAGCATCTATCGGCTTCATACAGGCAATGAGACTTGCGATTTCCAACTTGCAGTCACTATCCTCATCGTCATCATTATGGTCGTCGTCGGTGTTACAAGTAGCACGGACAATGTCCAGCGAGGGCACATCAGATTTCTGCCTTGACAGTAGCCCCACAGTTGCCAGCAAGCTGCTGCTTAGAGTCTCCAAGCTGCTCTCAGGAACCTCATGGAGACCTATGGGAAACCCACCAGCAACTTGGCTGAGTGCCAGCGTGCGTGCCAGGCCGACACAAAATGCCAGCCATGCAAAGGGTGCGAAGGACACGCCTAGCAGCGCAGCATTCCGTTCGGCTAAAGGTAGTCTGTTGAGTATGGACGGGCGCTGTTTAGAGACACACTCAAGTGAGAGGGGGCAGCTCTTGCCCTCTTCTGGAAGCATTGTGCCTGCCCACCGTGTCTCTTCAATCCCGCACAGGAGTAAAGCTGCGACCAACACCAAGTGTTACCATTTAGCGATGAGCGGTTTCTGGCGCAATCATTAGTTAGGCAGCCACAGCCATCCCACAACTGTTGAGCAACCTGACCGACTGAGTCTGTCCGTCTGAGCGGGTAAGTAGACGTAATCGCAGCGAATCCGACTCTGCAAAGGCGTGCCTCCTTCGATGACGCCGAGGCAGCCAAGATAGCCTTCGTAGTCGTCGTGTGGCATGCGAGAGAAAGCAGTCGACCCCCAAGCCTACAACAAACGGAGACCGAGAGATACCAATCACCACATCGAAAGGAAGAGGGCTCCGAACCAGCAGAAACCTGCTGGTCTCCTCGCCCATGGGCGGAGACTCAAGCCGGCGGGGTAGGTTGCTAGAAACAATCGTGGGGCAGCCAGGTGGACACTGGGAATCAGGTGCCCCGCAGCCTTTGCAACTAAACTGCATCCCTAGCAATCCGGGGCCCAGAGCATCAGAGATGAGATGTGAAGTGATGTACGCGCCAGAAAGACGATCGATGAGCCGACCGTCACGAAACCGACTTTTCGCGTCCGACCCTCACTAAGGACGATGTTCAAAAAACTTTAGCTTCACGCGACCAAGGTGTATAGAGGTGACAAGTATTTAGCATGTGTTTCAGGTCACCCAGCAGGACGCGCAGTGAGACATGGTGGCTATACTGGCTGGATGTATTGTCAAAATTGCCGTATAATTGCTATCGCGAGGTGGGGTCCCACCGAACCTCCCTGTTTTGCGGGAGTGACCATGCCGACCGGGGACCTCCAGAATGGGGCAATTAGCTCGCGATGTTCAGTTTTGGAGAGAGCTGGGCCACGCGAAAGTTACGCCTGCACTTTGTGTCGGGCCCTGGAACACTGTCGCGCCAGAGCAACATTCAATCTGGGAGGTTGAAGACAAGCTCGGCCTGCAACTCCAGAAAGCAGCGAAACGAAAGTACTTGAAAGAGCGAGAGAGAGATGCCAGATCGATAGAGAGAGGAAGAGGCCAGTAGCCTATCAGATTTCACCCACCGCAACTGTGTGAAACTTTGCCCGAAAGAGAGGGCGGAGACCATTTTCGGCCGACCTGACATCCCGGTGGAGCGAAAGTTGGGCAGCAGCCTCGGCCGAGAAGCAGGGTTTAGGGTTTATAAACCTTAAACCCTAAATAAAC